CTCAGGCGCGCAGTCTTATCGGTAATGCACTGAAGGGTATCATTGAGAAAGAGATCCAAAATATCAAAATCCCTCCAAATGCTATCTATGAATACTAAATGCACTTTTCATTGTATTATATAATTATGTCTTGATTTGTAGTACAAATGTTGCATAAGTTTAATTGTAAAAATTGTAAACATATAAATAAAAATTTATTTGTTTAAATACTGTGTATTAATATCTAATATTTACATGATAGACGTAATTGTCCTTTATGTTTTAATATGAACAAATTATTTGGTTAAATATTTAATCGGAAACAATTTATAAAAGTTAAATACTAATTTAATTTACAAAGTAATATTCATGCTTGTAATTCATTGGACTAAAAATATGTTTTATTCACTTAAAAATATAATTTTAAGGATTACAGTATTTAATAGATTTGAGTTTTTACTAACGACTCGTAAGAATTCAATGTCATAATGTGCCAGTTGTCAGATAAGTTAATAAGCACATCACTATTGATTAACAAACTCTCAAACCCTTTTATTAAATATAGCAGGGGAATTCAATTGTGTATATTTTAACGAAAAATTCTTATCAAATATTGTATATTAAATTACATAGTGTTGTTGTCTAGTTGATCACTAGATTTTTGTAAAGTAAATTCAAATAATACTAAAAATATTTTGTGTACAATGTCTTTCTTATATTGATATGCAGATAATTTAATAATTATTATTCTGTCAAGTAATTAACAATTAGAAAATAAGACATTTAGTTATTTATAACACGAAAGCGAAGTTCCTGATCACCTAATATTTTACCTTAACCTCAGATTGTAATTATAATAGACATACAAATGTGTATTTTGATTGGCTGGACAGGTGGCTATTAAATAAGCACACAATTAGTGAAGATCTGCCATAAGGATTCAGATACAACTGGTGCTCATAAAGTGTTTATTATTCAGGGAACTGATTAAAGGTTTGTTGATATCTTACTATCACTACAAAGAGATTACAAGTGAAATGTTTGACTCTTTGTGTGTAAAAATGAATTATGTTTTAATCGCATTCATAGTAATTAGTGTTTTGTAACAAACAGTCATAACAGGACCGGTAGCCGACGAGAATACGAGTGCGACGACACCGATGCCTGTGACGAGATGCTGGAGGACAGCCCGCGATAATTGATCGTCACATACCTTATCCTCTCGACAGGACTGGATGAGGAAATGGAGCCAAACTGAGACTGATAAGAGGCATTAAAACTGTTTAAATGATTACCAATTAGTTTGAATGAACCGGCTGTCTCAATGATTTATTTGCAATAAATTTTATACTCAACTTATTAGTGCCATATTAACTTATATAAACCTACAATTTTACGTAATAATTCGCTATTTGAAAATAGTTTATAATGTATAGAATAAATGCAATGTCAACCAAAATGTATTACTTTTTATTTTCAATTAAACGTTTGATTGAAATTCATTCAATAATTAGTTTGTCTCATAGTAATAACTTAGCATAAGTTAATAATTTTCACAAGGCATACAGTATTAAGAGATAAAACCTTTTATTAAATATTATTTTATTATCTAAATAAAATAATCATCTCATTAAAAATATAATTATTCAGCATATAAATGCATTTCAAATTATTATTATCACAAAGGAGGTATAATAAAACTTATAAATAGTTTTCAACTAAGATATGAGTGACAATGAATTCAATTTAATTGATGAATAAGTGAATATGATTAATAGCTATTTCTTATAAAAATACTTGAAATATTTACAATCAAAAAACATAAACTAAATAAATAGGTAATCAATAGATAATAAAATCATTTAAGTTTAATATTACTGAAGACAACGTTAGGATCACTTGAGTTGAGTACATCATTGAATCGTCGCCTCCTTTCCATGGCTTCACTATAGCTATCAATGCTTTGTTGAGAACTTCCGGAACTGGAGCTCCCGTTTTGTTCTATAGAATTCATATTACGATTCCTATTCATCCAGTTCCTCAGTGTGCCCCTCTTCCACACAAAGTACAGGTTCACACAAATACTAACACCAATCACCGCACCTATGATTATGAAACACAATTTGATCACTTTTGCCGTATCCCAGTCACTATCGTCCACACCTAACGCGTGTGCATCTGATTCAGTACTCGTGATCATTGGTGTCAATTCAGTCTTCACACCAATTAATTGTAATTTTCTTGTCGCACATATAAAGTCATAGACATATGAGGTGTCGAAACACGGATTTAATGTCCACTTTAGGTCCGATGGCCTGATTGATACACACTTTTTGTCACTATTTATACCGTTTGCCTCTTTATCCCAATTAGTGAAGTCCAGTGAAGACTTGTCGTCCCATTCATAGTAACCTAAAGTTAGAAGTTTCACAGAATTTATAATTTTGCTGTATTTTAAAATTAAATTAATTATAAAATTAAATACCATGATCAGTCTCATGTAAACCAATCCAAGTATTATCTCGTATCCTATCTCTCATTTTGAACATTGAATTCAAATGATAGGAATGGAGTGACAAAAGTGTTGAGTTGAGTGATCGACACTTTTCCGAAGCTTCACTCCATGTGGTCTTTAGTAGGTTTGGCTCAAAGTCTGAACTAAATAAATAGCAATACTCTGAATCGCTGTCCAAATTAGACCAGCTTTGCTCTTCAGTCAACTCGGGACAGACGTGTTGGTAATGGTCTTTGTGTTTGGGTGTTGAGTGAACTTCGCTTGTCTTACAAATGAATGATCTCTTCTCTGAACACAAACCTAAACTCCATTCCCCGGACTCTGTGTCCATGAAAACACAGGTATTATCCAAACCCTTTGACATAAGATTGGGTTGTTTGGGAGCCCAGAAGGTCAGGTTAACTGTGCGCTTATCTGTCCACCGAAAA